CGCCCGGGCGCCCCGCACGCGCCCCCCCCCTCGCCCCCTTCCCACCGCGGACCCGCTTCCGCTTCCTTCCGGAGTTCTTGCTGCGTGCCGCGCCGTCCCTCGAGCGCCACCCCTCGGTCGGAGGTCGCGTCGTCGCCATAGGCGGCCGCCCGCGCCTCCTGGGAAGGGCCTGCCCGGGAGGCTCCCGTCCCGCTGGGGCTGCAGGTCTAAAGCGCCCTCATCCGCTGGCCGCGGTCGAGGCGCTTCTTTCCGCCCAAGGAAAGGCCGGGCGAACCGCTGGCCCTTGGGCCCAAGCCGAAGAGACCTAGGGAGGGGGCAGCGAGAACAGAAGGTAGTCCCGCATCTTGTACCTACACACTACAGTTCTCCAAAACAAGACTTCACTTTTATTAATGCTGGACATCATCCTGTTCGGTTTAGCCGGCGTTCAAGCCTGTTGAGGTTACACCTCAGCCAAGAGCCTAGAGTGCATCCTTGGCAGTCTGATCCAGCAGCCCATTTGCACAGTAGCTAGCTTCAACAAATCCCTTCAGAAGCAGGCTCCCTGCCAACAACGTTACAGGAGGCAAGAGGAGGGCTTGGGTTACCAAACTGGGAATTATATTATCAAGCAGCAGCGTTATCATGGATAACAAAATGGATTGTACTGAGAAATACAAGGTTATTGACATTGGAGGAACATGACTTACAGGTGGGTTGGCATGCCTTCCTATGGTATGGGAAAAACAAGATACATGGTTATTTTCAAGGACATTATATAAGCAATGTTTTATTATTAGTATGGGAGAAAGTTAGAGAAAAACACTATGTAAAGATACCAGCTTGGCTTTCGACAATGGAAGCATTAATACATCCAAATATTACTAATATGGAAAACATTGTTAGATATAAAGATATTTTGACAGAAAAGGGGGAACTTATAAAGAAAGAAGATTTAGAAGAACAAGGGTTTGACATAGTTTGGTACACACAATTGCAGATACCGTCTAGATATGAAAAAGATACTAAATTATATGGTTTTCACATGGAGATGACAGAATTGGATAAGATACAGGAACAGAAGAGGGGATGATTTAAAAATTGTATAGCTACTTATTGCATGTTAAACTAGAAGAACAGGTAAAAGAAACAATGATAGTGCAGGCAATTTTTTTTTGGATATTCGATAGAGTTAGATAAATGGCAGCAACTATGGGAACAAAATTAAAAATTAACAATGGCAACTGCATATAAAAAGAATTTGTACAAAATGTTTTATAGATGGCACATGTCACTTGAAAGATTGGCAGAAATGTTTAAAGACAAATCAACCAAATGTTGGAAATGCCACCAAATGCCCGGGTCATATTATCAAATGTAGTGGACATGTATAAAAGCGAAAAAATACTTGGAAAGAATTCAAATGCGGTTGGAGAAGATGACGCAGCAACATATTGACTTAAAATCTGAATTGTTCTTGTTTGGCATCTTACAAGGCAAATATAGTAAAGAAAATGTATATTTGATTATTCATGTAATAACTATGGCTAGAATTGTATTTGCATAAAATTGGAAAGCTGAAGAAATCCCTAAAGATGAAAATGTGATTATGAAAATATTAGATTTTGCAGAATCTGATTATTATAATATATGGGGGTTATTTTATCATTGGTTAGAAAATGAATGTGGATAAAAAGTGTAAAATTGAATAATTTAGGAAGAGAAATGTTATAACAGGAGATATGTTAAGTTGTAATGAGCCAGCAGTGTGCAGCAGCTGCCAAAAAAGCCAACACAGTTCTAGGCTGCATAAACAGAGGGATAGAATCAAGATCACGTGAAGGGTTAATACCACTTTATAAGGCCTTGGAAAGGCCACACTTGGAATACTGCATTCAGTTTTGGTCGCCACGATGTAAAAAAGGTGTGGAGACTCTGGGAAGAGTGCAGAGAAGATGATTAGAGGACTGGAGGCTCATT